TGTTGGCCCTAATCCAGGCTCTGTTTTCAAGTTAAGCATTTCTATTTATAATGCTTACAGAAAAGTGGGATTTGTTTCTTGCACTGAAAGCACTTAGGAGAAATCCTCTATTTTTTTATAGTTCTTTTTCCTCCTGTAACTCACCAAGGAGGTTTGATGTTCCACTTATTCAGAACTGCAGAAAATAAAATTACAGGCAACTGGATTTATAATGGGATTGAGCCTTTCTCCTGGGGGCTTCTGGATCAGCTACGTGCCTGCTGGAAGGGCTCGTTCTTGGTCAGTTGTTAACAATAGATGTCTGTGGCTATGCCATTATAGCCGTTACACCATTATAGCTGGCACTCTCTGCAGAGATAAGGTTCCTTTAGCCGTGTACTTTCCCTCCTACATCTGATGCTGTACTTCAGCTGAAATACTATCTGCCTCCAAGCATGTGTACAGAAAGAGGCAAATTTGATTTTAAAAGTCAGTCGCTTAAACGTACCGGAAAACTTGTCTTGCTCCTTCCATGACGCTGAGGAGCAGCAGGCTGCCCCATGCCGCACCCCTTTGCCAGGGAAGTCAGAAGCAACATCTTCCTATCAGATCCCTCGCTGTGTGGTGTAGTGTGTGAGACTTTTACCTTTTTGCACAGAAGAGACTTTATTTCTAAACTTGGCTTTTGGAGAAACTCTTTCTACTGTGAGACATCAAGGTTGTGTAAAAAAGTGCGTTTACACTCAATGCATTTGTGTTGCCTGTGGTGGCAAAGGAAGGTTGACGTGGGAGCTCAGACAGTGCCTTCTCACTGTCAGGATCTCCCTACTGATTTATATATTCTAACACTCTGTTGTCATTTGCCTTGGTATGATTTAATGCATACTTGGCTCCAGGAGGAAAGACTGAAAGGTGAAACTACAGTATTTGTTTGGTATGTGACTGGACAAGTCATGGCCAAACACCTCAAACAAGGCCACTGTGAGAAATGTAAAATCACATCTCCGCTGATGGTAAGAAAGATAATTACAAATTGTATATTGTCTTACATAGCTAGAAAATATGACTATGCATCTATAGGACAGAGAAGCACTCCAAGGCCGGATTGGAAACCATTCGTTTTGCTAGGACAATAGGTGTTGGCCATACCCCACTCCTCTCTCAGGTGGGATTAGGACTCCTGGAAAGAAAAAAAAAAGAGGTTTCTACAGAATGACTATTTCTCAGGAAAACACAAGCAAACAGTTTTGATTTAGAGCAATTTCACAATAAGCCAGCCTTTACTGAGAGTTACATGGTTTGCAATCTAGTTGTAGCCAGATCCGATCCAGAGTGTCCTAGGGCCAACGACTTGGAGCTGGGCCAGAGTTTATATTTATTTTCCCTCAAACAAAGATCAGTGGTGTGTATTGCATGTTGTAGATGACTTTCTGCATCCTATTTTACAATACAGCAACTGATAAGTAATCGCCAACTTGTCAGTGAGGTGTTTTACATTTCTTCAATTTCTACAGTGTCTGTCAAAAAGATTGTGAGGTCAGTGGTTACACAGTGTCTCAAGCCCTAAGACACTGGAGGTGGTCCAGCCACCTCACCTGGAGCCCCAGAGCCCTTCTGCATCCCAAAAGATCTGCCTGTTGCACATCTGTATATGAACCTCCCTTTTTGTGTTACCATGTTCCCATTTTATAGATGTTTTTTCCCTAGGTAGGCTGTCATGCCAGGCTGGGCAATGGCTGGTTGCTACTTACACAAATTTAAACCAGTGTTGGGAGTGCTGGATCCTGGTGCCTATCATCAGGCAAATTTTCCTGTGAATTCCCTTAGGAATCGCTCCAGCACTGCTGCACTATCGCACATCTGGGACGAGCTGGAGAGTTCCATCAGCCTGGGGAAGCACCAGCCTCAGAAAGGCCTGTGTCCTGCAGTGCCCCGTATCTACCACGGATAAGCTATCTGCATTTGTTTATTTAACTTTTACTCACTGGGCATTAAGAAGCCTTTAGTTTCCAGGAACAAGCCCTGTTCAGGAAACATGTGCAGTGAGCTCTGCTTTGCATCAAAGTTGACTTCCCCATAGGTATTAATTTATTAAAGGTGTTAATTTATACTAGGGTGGGGTTTTTTTGATTTATGTATCTTTTATTCTGAGTGGGTCAAGCTTTGCTTTGTTCGAGGCTGTTGCACGAAACTCTCCTTGCAGTGCTTCGTGATGACCTTGTCTCCCTTTTTAGTTTTTGCTGCTCAGCTATAAAGTAAATTCCGAGAACTTATATTTTTTTCAGAAATAAATTCTCTTTATTTTAAAATTCAGACACATGTGCTTTATACCAAAAACAGACACCAAAGGAGACTTGTTATTCATCTCTAGTTTTAAGCAAAACTGTGGCTTTCAAGGCTATATAACCAGACACGGTGATTCTAATGAATCTTTACAACTTTATGTCTCCCTGTCTATACTCAAGATAGTGTTGCAGGCACTTCAGTGATCTTTCTGTCAATGTCTCTCACAACAGAATCCAAGACATTTCAGAGATTTCCAGGGGTTTAAAAAAAAAAAAAAGAAAAGAAGGAAGAAGCAAAGATGGGGTCTTTAGAGTGTCATGTTAAATATGGCCAGCTCTCTACCAATTTTCTGCCATGTGCATTTCTTCTCCCTGGTCTCCACACCACCTCCATTTCCAACAGCTCTCCCATTGCCACCGGTTGCCCTCCTAAAGTTCCTTCACTGCCAACCTCCGCTGTGTAATAAGACCTGTATAACTTGCAGAGATTCTTGAATAAGGAGTCTTTAGTAAGAGTGATTAAGGCCTGATTTCACAGGAACTCTGGTTTTTGGCCAAACATTTCTGTTACTTCTCCTAAGTCTTCCTGCAGCACATGGTGGCACCTGGAGTTGTGCTTACAGTAGCCCCTTCTTTCTTGGTCCTTCCAGCAGCAAGTGCAAATGGCTGGTGACAGCCTTCATCAAAACCAGGTACTGTCACCTCCCAGTTGAGCAAGTCTGTTTATGTATTTGTTCTGGTGAGCTTTGTGTTCAGGCTGTCCTTAGAATCTGTCACCTTTCCATTAAAAAAATACTGCTTCTCCACTGAGACACCAGGACTTACTTTTAGACAATTTTCACTCTATCTTTCATTAACAATTCAATTTTAATTAATTCTGTTTAAAAAACAAGAAAAAAAATCCCCAACCTACGAGAATCAGTTCCAAATTCAGAACAACAAAAGTGTGAGGGTACACAATATTGGTTTGGACCACAACCTAGTTGTTAGAAATTATTTGCAGAGGATTACTTGATTCAGGTTAGAATTTCAAATGATGCTGTAAGCAGGGATCTGTGATCTTAATCTGGATATCTCTCTGCTTAATACAAATCATATCCTTATCATGAGACAGATTTGTTGCCCAAGACATTGATGCTAATTTAAAAATTTCAAAATAAACTCAACTTACTGATTTTTACCTTCCCAAGTCAAATATTTTCAGCCTAAAGTTGATGAGGAGGGGAATGGCACTTTCATTTTCCTTCCTCACCCACCTGGTTTTAAGGAAAATTTTTCTCATTTTTTTCTTCATTTGATTTATGTTTTCCTTTCAAAAAATCAATGCTTAATGTTAAATGGGAAAGTAAGTATACTGAACCACAAGAATGTAAAAATAACATCCCTATGTAAATGAAATATGGGTAGGAAAAAAGTATGGAAACAAAGACTGATATCTCTGAGATGAGGTGGAATGGTGTTTGCGTCTGATTCTGACACAAAATATTTTAGCTGGCGAAGCTGTAAAAATCAAGCGTACTGTTGTGACGTAAGTTAAATGTTAACACAAGTTAAATCCATTCTGATAATTGTCTAGATCTCAGGACATAAATTATTATTGTGGGCCTTTCTTGAAAGCAAGACAATAAAATGTCTTTAAACTTTGAGGGAAATGTATCCAAAATTCTACCATGCTAGTGTGCCTAGACAAAACTGCTGACTAAACAAGTATCTTTGACATATTTTTGCATCTGTTACCCTGCGTTAGTTACTGAAGGCTCCCTGTCCAAAGCGCTGGAGAATCTGGTCTTTGGAACTGCATGCACAGAGAAGAGGATGCCCGTTTGCTTTAATTAGCTGATAAGAAAGCACATATTCAGTTCATGTCTCCAGTCTTGCCTCTTTTCTGGGCTGAGGCTGTACTTAGCAGAGATGGCTCCATACACTATATCCTTCCTCCTTTTGGAAGAATTTCCCAGGAAGGTGTAGAATGTGGGTTTGAATCCACTCAAGCTGAGAAGGGAACTGCACACAGGTTTCCCCGCTTCTGCAGAAGAGCTCTGACTCTTGAGGTACTGGCGACTAAAGGAGGAAAAGGCATGTGGGGAACCTTACTGCTGAACAGTAGTTAGGCACTTTCAGGAATATGAAGCGTGTGACAAAGGCTTTCAGGACTGTCAGTCTGCATTTAGCTGCCTAGATCCCATTCAAGTCTCTTTTGGGCTATGATGCATCTTTCTCTTGGGCCTCAGTCTTTCTGTGTCAGCAAGAATAGTTACAGTGAGAGAATAAATTCCTCAGAGCCTGCAAAACACTGATCTATGGTGATAACGTGGGCTGTCCCAGGTAGCTGTTAATGAAATATGGCTGAGGGTCTGGTTCATGTCTTTCCTGGGGCTTCCGGTAGCAACAGCATCACCTTAAATAGGGATAGTAGTGAAAATGTCCTTGAAAATGTAGAATGTAACTTGGGATGAGTTATTACTAGCACATTTCTCTTGAAGGTTTTGGGCAGTACATGGAAAAAGCCAATAGCGCTTTGCAAAAGGCAGCGGTGGTCAGAAGATTTAGAGAGAGGGGTGCATTGCTCACCTGTTCTGGCTGGACCAGAGCAACAAGTGAAACACAAGTCTACACAGGAGTCTGCTTTAATCTGTCATTCTATTTTATGAAGCATCACACAGCATTTTCACCAATTAGCATTTGATAGCAGTTTAAGAAAGGGCCACAGGGTTATTCAAGGAAAAAGCCAACAACCTATTGCATAGTCACTGACTCCTCATTTGGCAGCAGTGCTCTTGGAGGGCTTGGGTAGTACCCGGCAGTTGCTGAGCTATTTGAGGAAAATCGTGTAAATCTATAATCCAGTGGTAAATCTGAAAGACAGAAACATACCATATCTGATTAGCAACACAGCCCATATCACATAAAACATAAGCCTGTGGTGAACAGCAGTACTTCTTAAGCCCTTAAGCTGTTTGCTCACCAGCATTAGAACTCAGATTGCATGATTACATATTTATTTGACATCTTCAGCTGTACAAGGGATTGACTTACAGAGTTTACTCAACTGCAGCAAAGTATATTCCGTTCTTTGATTGCTGGAATTACGCTAGTCATAGAAAATGATTTAACTAATGCTTAAAAACTAAACAAAGATCTTCATTGAGCCTAGATGGAATTTTCCCACTAGAACACTTTCAAGTTCATTCTTCAATTTATCACCTTTCTCTTTTATGTCAGCAATCTACTCAAAAGGACTATGCTTAAAACAGAGAAGTTAGTTTCCTTTTTTTTTTTTAATGGCTATTATAGCAAGATTCCCCAAAGGCACCTGCTTTTAGACCTCGCAGTCCAGTATTAACATCATTTTGTACCAAGCATTCTTAGAAATCTGCACTTGTAACTTGGCGTACTCATCACTTCCAGTCTGTAAAGAACACTGAATGCATTAAAATAGTTCTGAACAGTCAAAGCTTTCTTTTCTGTAGCGTTTTAAAAAAAAGTCTTTACTGCCAGCAGTGACCTGCCCACCCTCACAGCCAGAAAACCGATACTTCCCATGCTCACCTCATATTCAAAGTTCAAGAAACCAAATTAAACAAACCCACACAAATAAAACTTCATTCAAGAAACAATTACCCTTCCAATACATGAAAAAAACCAAACCAACAAAAAAGGGTTAGCTCCTTCCCAAGTTGTCTGTTTAGAACCAAAGCAAAACATAAAAACTATTACTCAGCTCATCTGAACAGTAAGTTATTAATGACAACTTTTTTTTTTTTTTAAATTTGGAGTAAATTTGGAGTGATGATATCCTGTCACTATATGCTACAATTTTTTTTTTTTTTTCTGCTCAGCAGCTTTTGTGAAACAGAAAAACACAATCGTAGCAGTTTTGGCACAAACAACAGGAAGTTCAGGTCTCTCTCACAAGCAATTCACAGGCAGGCACCAGGACAGCATCCACGTCCGCAGCTTTAAAACCGTATTAAACATAACTAAAGCAAGTGAATTAGTATCTAGATCCAGCTGAAAAATCAGAGAGAGGCTGCAATACAGTAGGAAGAGGGGGGAGACTTGATGGGAAGTGAATTACGCTTCATGAAGTGGGTTACTTCAGCTTGTCAAAGAAGTACATTTTCTCATTTGGCCTGAGTCAGAGGACTCTGGAGCCCGTTCTGAGCACGGCAAACGAGGCAGATGTTTTTCCTGTCTGCAGAGGGCCCAATGGATTTACTGGCTGCTGAGTCTATTTATGATAGCTCTGTATAAAACAAAGATTTCCAAAATAACAAATAATAATAAAAAAGAAAACAAATATTTCTGAATATGAGCTATAAAAATTAAATGCCATAGATCCTTTTATATAAAAGCTTTCACCAGCTTTTTAGTCTACCAGTCTGGAGGGTCCCAAGAGTAGTTTAACCAAAGAGCAGCACAAATGGGGCAGATTTACTGCAGGGTTGCTTATGCTGAAGAAAAGAACCAGTTGGATCAAAATGGTAATTTTGTTGATATTTTCTGGTGAACTAGCTTTACACAATCAGCTTAAACACCAAACCCATTCTATATACAATGCACAAGACTACAAAGGAGAATGATCACTTTTTTACATCTTCGAACCCCGATCTATCCATTTATGTATTGTTTTTGTCTGAGCAAACTGACTTTGGAAGATGATCAGAAGGTATCCATATGTAAAAACGTTGCCCAAGGCATCCCTGACAGTTGCATGAAGCAGATACTATTCTTCACCCATTAAGCAGATTTTATGTATCACAAACAGAGTAAAAATCTTCCTCTATATCCAGGGTTTGTTTTTTTTTTTTCATCAATGATTTCATTTCCTGCATCTGCTTTGCCTGGAATATGCAACATTTTATATTATTGCTTTATTTGTGTGATGTATTTATGAGAAAGCTCTGGACTGATTCAGAAAGGCATACTTGGAATCTTAGTGGCTATGAATAAACACACAGTGAGGAAGAAAGGCAAGTATACGGGGAAAGAGAAATGAAGATTTTTTTATTGGGGGAATGCAAAATTTATGAAAAAAAATGAAAATCCAGAAAATATGATGAAGACTGTTCATTTAAACTAAGTTCATTTAAGTTCTCTGAAAACTTTGCACCTTAAAATAAACCAGATTTTGTCCTGGATTGCAAAGGTATCATATGAATTGTACACCAAAGCTCAATCCAACTTCTTTTTATGTAAATGGCAATGGTATCACCAGGTCCAGCAATATTGGCTCATCAACAAAGAAGAATGATACAGGTCTGGAGTCTGCCTCCTGGACACAGCAGCAGTTCATTTCCTATCTGGTCTTGTTCCGTATTATCACTGATGACATAGAGAGGAAATAAGCAGCTCCATTTCGCTAAACTGAAATGCTTGCACAGGCCACAGCTTGATGCAAAAGCATGCAAAAAATAAGATACAGCATTTGATAATAAAGCCAGTGTCAGGAAAAAAATAGTTGCTTATTTCCAAGTTGTCAGTTTTCCTAGTGTTTTTGCCAGTAAATCTCTCCAGGTTCTGCTACTGCGCATGCTCACACTGCTGCTGTAGTGGCAGACCTTTGCACCTTGGCACCCACTTCTCACCGAACACTGATGGAGAGTCATAAATTAGGCAGGGGCAGATACCCAGTCCTTGCTGAGATCTAATGTGACAGCCAGGCTTTAATCAGTCCTAACCTGTACCGACAATGAATTCAGCACCAAACTCATCCAATATTGCCACTATCCTAAAAAACCAAAACCAAAACCCTGAGCAAATGAAAGAGCTCGAAGCTGGAAAAATGAACTAGCTGGCTCTATCTAATTGCTTGAGGACCACAATCTCAGAATTTTTCTATCATACTTAGGTAATTCCACCCCGACTCATTTTGTTACCAAGACCAATAGGACATTCATTTTTAAAGTCAAAGACTCCTAGAAATCAGACATGGAGGGTCTCAAGGTCTATGACCCTTTCTAAATCTACAGAAATGTCAGTTATGAGATGCATCCCCCTGAATTTCTGTCCCGTTCCTTTCTTTGCTCCCACTCCAGAGCCTGAGTGCAGGTGACTGATGAAAACCAGTTTCCTTTGCAGTGACCATTCAGCGTTACTAGCGTTTCCCAATGGCTTAGGCAGTCCTCAGGGGTTATATGCCTTAGCCTGAGCTCAGAAGCAGGACTCCTGCCCTGCCCTACCTCACTTGCTGGACTCCAGCAGCCCTGGTGTAAATAAAATGGCAATGATGATGTTTGAACAGTAACCACTGTCAGTTCCTGTGTTCCAGTTACCCAAATCCAGGTATTAAGTGGCATTAATTACAAATTTTGCTCTGATGCTTACGTATACCCATATCCTTGAATGTATTTGGGTGTTGTGGATGGATTTATTTCATAGTTATTAAGCTGACAACTTCTCAGCTCTGTGTGCTGTTCAGTTAGTGTAAGCAAACTAAATGAAAGCTACAAGCTTTTATCAGGAGAAAAATTGGAGTTCCAGCCACAAGGAAGCAAAAGGAAACCACAAGAAGAAGGGAAAATGTAATATTCTCGATGAGTGATCAGGAAAATATTTGAGTAACTGAATGGAAGACAATTATAATCTAATCCAGACACAGGCCTGCTTGATAAACTTAATACTCACATCTAATCCTTTTTTGATATTTCCTTGAACAAACCAATACATTAAACAAATATAATCTTAACTAAGCTCTAGATGGAAGGCTTTTTTTTTTCTTTTTTTTTTTTTCCCCAATTAAAAGCACAGTCCAAGACTGAAACAGATTTCTCCCAAAATACACAGCAGAAATGTCACGAATCATTTTGCAGTATTGACCAACAAAAGCGAAGCCAACATGTTTTAATCATGACACAACAGCAGCATCCCCGTGATGAGTGTGAAGCCTTATGGAAAAGCACAACTCAACTCCCCTCCCCTCTCTGAGGTCTGCTCCCCGCCAGGCAGCAGGGCTGGAACCAGACGCTGCAGAAACCTCCTAGCAAGCAGCAGGGTTGTCTTCTTAAGTGAATCCAAATATATCCTCCTGATTATCACTAAGGAAAAGGCACCGGGAGGAAAAGTAAAACCTCATTACTGATACCCAAGTTTTAACTTGAAAAATCTTTAAACTGCTTAATTGTGGCTAATCTCAGAAAACACAGACAGAGCTCTATCTTACGGCTCAGCACCCAGGTAGTATAACTATAGGGGCAGATCGTCAGCCAGTATTAATTGTTCTGCTTTTACAGGAATTCTAGTAATTTACACTGGCTTAGAAGCTTTGCTATAAATCTTTCCTTATATTTCAAAACTGCTGTTGAAGAAAAAGGAAAATATAAATTTCTTAATGGTAACAATTTCTAATAATAATTTCTTAACAGTGGAGTAAGCACAACTGCTGCAGGGGAGCTCACCAGTTTGGCTGCACTGCCGAGTGACCTGACTTGCCAATCTGCAGGCAAACTCTAACAGGTGTTGGCTTTTTATAAATACTAAATGTTTTTATCTCCTGATGCATTTCTATTTCATAACAGCCAAAGCAGCACTTGCAGAAAAAGCTCAGAATGTGAGGGAGCGTACTAGTGGCAAAAAGAAAAAACCCCAAGGTCACAAATAGATTTATCTGATAGCAGTTATTTTTAGCAAAACTTCTTAGGCTGATTTTCCTAAACAGGAGGTCAGATGTTTGCTGTACTAAAACAAAGCTCCCAAAATAGTGAAGTCAGCACGAGGAAAACGTTCTCGCAGTTACATGAAAGTCATTGCTGCTGTCTGCACGCTCTGCAACTCAAAAGTTAGAGAGGAGGAGGAGGAGGAGGAGGAGGGAGGGTATCTGTGCAGTGCCGTATGGGGAAGGAGGGACTCTTCAGTA